CGCAAGTGATATAACAGAGGAAGAGATGGGGATTGCTGGAGAGCTAGCCCCGAAGAATTGGGAGGATGGAGGTTCAGTGAGAAAACCTGTAATATCAACAAAAAAGGTGGAGAGAGAATAAGGAAGACCCCAGTGTGAAACGCATAGCCTTCACACATGCATGCGTGCATAATATACCACACAATCACATATGCACACAACATACCTTTTTCATATGCTATCTAAATTACCAAGTGCTTCAGTAAGAAAAATAGAAATATTCTACATTTTATTAGTAACTCCTACTGTGAATGGGTGGTTGAGGAGAAACGAGAGCAAAGTATTGATTTGCTTTATTTTTTTTTTTTTAAGGCAGGCCACTCTATATAGCATCCACATAACTTAAAACATTCATGTTTGAAACCTATATAAAAATACAAATCATGAAATTAGAGCCAAAGTCATAAAACCAGATGACAGTGTGCAGGAGGTGTATCTCAGAAACAGAAGGCTTGCTTAGCATCCACAAGGCTTTGGGTTTAATCCACAGCATCTCAAAATAAACAAACGGGAGCAAACAAACAAAAACCTAGATGCCCAAACAGGCATCATTTGTAATCCCTAAACCATGTGGGCTTAATTGAACTTAAGACACTAAGTAGGTAAATAGAGTATGTCATGTATCAGTTACTCCGAAGCTGTGGTAAAGCTGGGGATAACAAGATGATCCGTAAGAACCCCCAAACACAAATATCTTTAATCATAATAACTATATGTATTTATTTATATATGTAGAAAACAGTACCACTGTATTGCTGTTTAGCACAGAACTAAATTTAATACAAAGCCGTGTTATTGATCAAAACAATAGCATACTTGCAACTTCAACCATGACAGAAAATGCTGTAACGAGTCCCAAACGAGCGATGCTCAGGAAATGCTACCATAGCTACCTCACCACATCTCTGCCACATTCATAGTGTGCTTTGAGTGCTACACTCAAGTTAAGGGCTTCATGTAAAGCAAGTGTGGTCCTTTTGTATGCCAGTTATGGCCTTTTAGATGGTGTCATCAGAGAAAGCACCGCTCCATAACGCTTTCCTTTTCATGCTTGGTAGCGCGAGTCTATAGCATTTTGATTCCACCAGGGGGAATTTATCAGGTTTTTACTGTGTCTAATGCTCTTTCATGGGCAATTTTGAGGGGGAAAAAAAACTTATTTGGAGCCGGGTGGTGATAGTGCACACCTTTAATTCCAGCACTTGGGAAACAGAGGCAGGCAGATCTCTGTGAGTTCAAGGCCAGCCTGGTCTATAAGAGCTAGTTCCAGGACAGCTAGGGCTATTAGACCGAGAAACCCTGTCTTGAAAAACCAGATAAATAAATCTTATTTGGGTCAGGGGATGCTGGAAAAGATGGCACAGTGGCTAAGAGCACTAACTGCTCTTCCTGAGGATCCGGGCTCAGTTGTCAGCACCCACACGGCAGTTCATATCTGTCTGTAACTCCAAATCCAGGACTTCTGACACCCTAACATGCAAGTAAAACACCAATGAACATAAAATTAAAACAAAAAGAAAAAATCTGTTCTAAAACTCAGGTTTGCAAATTATTAACGTTAAGTGAATCCTTATGAATGTGTTAATTTAGGAAAATATTTAAAACTGAGAAAACAAATTCAGACTAAAGTTTAAGTGACTCTCTCCTATTAGAGAAATGAGAGTCTGAAACTGAGCATGACTTTGCAAGATAGAAGAAAGTGGGACTCCAGAAATCAACTGAAAAATCTAGATAATTCGACTCTGCAATTCAACCAATCCATAATCTTCACAGTTTTATTTTTCTCTTCTGAAATTTGAGTATATTCTCAGTTTTCCTCATATTTTCAGAGTTCTTTCATTTCTTCAAATGTCTGAAACAAATGTTTTTCTATTGTGTCCCCAGCTGTAACTGCCATTTCTTAAGTATGGTATCACCTTCCTGCCACCTGTACCTCACAGGACATCGAGTGAACCATCAAATATGACTTTATTCATTTATTTAGTTTTTTTGAGACAGGGTTTCTTTATAGTTATGGTGCCTGTCCTGTAACTAGCTCTTGTAGACCAGGCTGGCTTCAAACTCACAGAGATCCGCCTCCTCTGCTTCTCGAGTGCTGGGATTAAAGGCTTGCGCCACCACTGCCTGGCAAGTGTGACTTTTTAAATAGACAAGAACAGTACTTTTTTTTTTTAAAAGCATGGAATGATGGTTCTTTTATTATTAGTTCTTTGTATGTTTGCCTACACACACGCCTGTGCACCACGTGTATGCTTCCTGGTGTGAGCAGAGGCCATAAGGTGTCAGAGGCCCTGGAACTGGAGGTATACATGGGTTTGAGCTGCCATGTGGGTGCTGGGAGTGGAACCTAAGTCCTCTGGAAGAGCAGCCAGTGCTCTGAACTACTAAGCCACCTCTTCAGCCCCGTGATGTGAGTTCTTTAAAGATAAATTTTAGTTGGGAATGGGGGCACACACCTTTAATCTTCACACTTGGGAGGCGGAGGTGGATTTGGGAGTTCAGGGCAGGTATGTGTTGGCAGGCATGCAAGAGATACATAAACATTGTCCCTTACACAAAGTTTTATTTAGGTCTGCAAGATGCCTCAGTAGGGAGCGGCACTTGTAACCAAAACTGACTTGAGTTCAGTCCCTGAAACTCACCAAGTGGAAGGAGACGAGCAACTCCAAGGTGACCACTGATTTCCACATGAGTGCGTGCACACACTCAATCCTAAACGGAAGGTCTTGACTTTAGTCTTAATACAAACTCAGAGTCAGGTAAAGGGGTTAATGCTGAAGATCAGAGAAGCAGCCACTAGAAAGTTCTTTTACCTCCATCAACACTCAAACAGAATGGGGGAACCTGTCCTCCAATTGCATCTCCAGACTCCAGCTGTCTCCACCAAACCTGAGACTACAATGAGTTCCTGTCTCTGCCCAGTCATATCTCTCCTGTCACTTCCTTCCTAGTGCCGGATTAAAGGTGTACACCACCCCTGTCCGGCTCCAAGAGCCAGGATTAAAGGTATGTGCCACCATTCCCTGGTTTCCAGTGGCATATCTCTGTGCTCTGATCTTCAAGCAAGCTTTGTTAAAATACAAACAAAATATCACTACACTTTACTACCCCATCCAAGGTTCAGAAATCTAAGCAGAAAGATTGTAATTACTGGAGGTGGTGGGTAAATCCAAGGAAACGGCTTTTTCCATACACAAAACAGCTGATGGACTGAGACTGACTGAGACAAGCCTGCACGAATTCAAGTCAGACAAAATCCCAGCCCAGAGAAGGGAAGCAGGTACCAAGTTCCACCTCTAAGCAAGAAGCTCATTGCAGCTGATAATGGGGAGTGATACTGGGCATCTCAGCTCTAGGGCAGGCTCAGCAGTTAGTCAACAGAGGAGGAGTCCATGATGACTGTGCACGTGTGTTATTTAAGAAGATGGGAGATGGGGAGAATACATCAAAATGCATTGTATGAAAAATGGATTGGATGAAAAATGGAATAAGAAAAGCACGGGAAACTAGATTAACGATTCAGATGCCTCATGACATTGGCCTGGAATCACTCTTAACTAAATGCCTGTTTCTAAGGTGTTTCTAGCTGCCCAGCTGGCCTGCGTGTTAACTGCAAAAGATCATGAGAAGCAGTTTATGATTATGACTCCCTAAACAACGGTGTGGGTGTGGGTATGAGCAGAGATAAGTTTCTCTCCAAGAAACCAGACGAACAGGTTTCCTTCTCTCACCTTGGGCGTCCCTGTGGCCTTCTGCAGACCTAGCAGGCTTTCCAGTCTGGGGTCAGTTTGTAACCTGCTTTCTTAAATCCATAAATGCAAACTAAATGCTATTCAGGTTAACTCAAGTTTGGCCATGGCGCTTAATGTAAAAGCAGGGAAGGGGTTCTCCTTTGTTCAGTCTCTGACCTTAAAGTTCTTTTATTATCTCGTGGGTGCATTTTTCTTAATTTAAAAACATATTTTGGGCTGGGTGGTGGTGGCGCGCACCTTTAATCCCTGTGCATGTGAGGCAGAGGCAGGTAGATCTCTGAGTTCGAGAACAGCCTGGTCTACAGAGCGAGTTCAAGGACAGGCTCCAAAGCTACAGAGAGAAACCCTGTCTCAAGAAACCAAAACCAAACAAAACAGCAACAACAACAACCCCCCCCCAAGCCCCATCAAAACTATATTTTGCTGCCATTTTCAATTGTTTTCATCAGCTTTGTTGAGCCTGGCATCTAACCCGCTATTGTTGCACGGGAGATTTAATTAAATTGTTGAGTAATTGCTTACATGGTTTCTTTAAATAATGTGTTTTGCCAGAGTAGTTAAAGAGTTGCTTTACAGGTTATTAATTTAACTGCTTACAGTCTAGAAGCAAAACAATAAACTAAATTATTTGGAACCATAATAGCTGAGAAATGGATTAAACCTACCCATGGTCTGAGCTAGTGCAATTCCTGCTGCTCCAATCCCAGCCCGCGCTCCTGCAGTCTTGCACCTGGTTTGTCAAGCGCCTACCCATATAAGATATATACCTATATCTTTGCCTTTAGCTTTGGTGCTTTGCCTGCCAAACCCAGAAGCCCGAGGCTGTGATCCGACTTAGATATGATACCTTGGCCACCTCACAGTAAACCTCCCCCAGCTGCCCACCTCGCCCATACCGTGTGAGAAGAAACACTTCTGCCCCAGGGCCTTTGCATGTGCTAGTCCTTGTGCTTGGTGCTATCCCTTCTTATTTCGCTCTGTCTCCAATCCCCATTCAGGACTTGTTCAAATGTCATCTTCTCAATGAGACCTTCTCCAACTGCCTGAAATGGAAACTTCTCTTCACACCCATCCAGCATTCTACAATGCCACCCCTGCTCTGTTCCACTCCACTGTATTTATTGTCTAATACACTATCTCAGGCTGTGAGTTAATCTTCATAGACTCTCGGCACGCAAGTGAGGCGGCGGTTTACTTGATAACAATATATAATGATTTATACATGCAGTTTATTATCTGACTCCGTGAGGACAGGGATTATTGCTCTTCTGGAGTATTACTATGTGCCCAGTGTCTAGGACGAAGGGCTAACACATGATACATGCATAAAAAGTGCTTTGAGTAAATAGAAATTGCTATTAATATACAATAAAAGATCACAGAAAAGGATTGTTTGCTTACAAAAATGTCTTCTATGGTTTGAGAAACAGAAGACATCCCAAAAGGTCAAGTCCTCAATGACTGCTCTTCACAAAGGAAATGTCATTAAAATTCAAATTTTGAAATTCTTAGCAATATTCCAAAAGGTACCTTTATTTGAAAGACAGTATTTTGAACTCACTGGAAGGGCAGTATTTTTGGCTCACAAGTCCCTGGTGTGACTCTCCAAACAGTCATTTAATATAGAGCCATGTGTTCAAACAAAAGAGAAAATATACTTGTTCGCTGTTCAGTTGTTAGAGACTAGCTGCAGACAAGATGAGCTTTCTGAACACCAGTGAGACGCAGTCCAGCATACGAAAGCAGAAGGGCTGAATCAACAGATAATGAGTTCCCGTCCAGCCTCTAATTCCTGGATTTGGGATAATCTTCCTGCAGAATCTCTCTGCAGTCTGCCTTCAGATTTCTTCATCTGTATTCAGCTCTGTTTATCGCCTCTGAAATGTCTAAAAAGGCTTATAGGACTAGTTCATTACCAAGAATACCCCACCCTTGTTAAAAACTCATCACAGACGTTGGAAAGGTGAAGGGAAGCTCAAGTACTTCTCTATTGTTCCCATCAGCTCTTGCGAAAGAGCACAGAATTGACCCTCCCTCCTCTCCGGATCTCAACAGTCTTCCCATCCCTCCAGAGACCTTGAGTATCAGGGCTCTGCCCAATATGGTCTAACGATAGCTCTTGTTTTACAAATTGCAAGCGTGGATTCTCTGGGCCTTTTACTGACGTGGTTTCTCTCCATCCCACTCACTGTGGAACAGCTGTGCTCTGTATCTAAGAGATTATCAGTATTAACAAGACAGAGGCTAGTTTGTCTGCTAAGTATCAGATCTTCCCATTAAAGACAGCGAGGTTCGGGGCATAGCTGAATAAGCAAGCTCTCTGGAGGTTGGGAGAAGAAAAGGATGGCTGTTTGAAGCTGCCTGCCCGCTCGTCCAGGCAGGTGTCTATAGGCACACACTGTAACAGGATTTATAGTAATACCTTGACAGAGTTCAGTTGTGGAGCCTTTCTGATCACTCAACCATTCTGCTGAGAACCTGAGTCTTCAGCAAATCTGTAAAAGGATATTAGAAGTTTAAATCCAGTCAACCTCTAGCTCTAAAGGGCAGAGTGGGCTCTCCAGCCCTTGTACTGCAAGTTTCTTTCCATTCCACCCATTTCATAAAGAACACGGTGATTATCGGTATCAGTAAAAACACAGGCTACTTTTCATTTTGTAGGCATCAGGTTCTCAATTAAAGACCATAAGGTTCTGGGCAACATATATTCATTTCAGCAAGCAGATCGTTAGCTTGGATGAACTATCCGTTTATCTAGATGACAGCATACACATTGGTTGGATAAGGCATTGAACATCATTCCCTTCTTTCTCAACTCTTTAAATAAGAGAGAAATAATAGATTTAACAAAATAGTTTTTCAAACATTCAGATATAATTATTTTAAGGTATTAGTTTGTAAATATAGGATATGCCATTTGTTTTCAATGTTTTGCCAGTGAACGCATGAGGCACACGCTCTCCTGTCCACTCCTCACACACTGAGCATGTCTTCTGTGCAAGGCATTGGCAGCATCCTAGGAATGCAATGCTAAATGACAACACAGTCCTTGCCCTTAAAAACTTGTTCTAATTGAGGTGACAGTTGAACAAACACAAAAGCTGAGCTCTGCTCAGAAAGGGATCTTCCAGGTCATTCTTATATGAAGAAGAAATTCCCAACCTAGCAAGGAAGCGGAGCGCCTACAAGAGTAACACTTCTGGGGGAAAAATGATGTATAAACTGAAATTTGAATGATTACGGAGTTTATGAGGGCAGTTGGTGTAAAAACCACCAAGAGAGTTTTTTTCACCAAAGGAGAAATATGCGCACAGGTCTAGATGTGAGAGAGAACTTGTTGGGAAATGGCAGTCAGCATGGCTGTCACTGAAACCGGAAGAGTGGAGGTATCAAAATAGGTGCCCAGCTACATCTTCTGGAACAAACCACGTGGACAGGACTAATTCTAAGAGGAACAAAGTTTTGAAAGAAGAGACACAAAAAGGTGTTTCGATGACCTTTAAACAAACGCATAAATCAGAACAGCCTCTGAATTACAGGTGCTACAAGCGGTACCCAGCTATGAAGAGGTTGCGTTCAACAGTATGAAGTCAAAGGGAGCTTTACATGATTATTTTAGCCTTCAAAACACTGTAGGAGACCATTAATCTCATCATATGGCAGCCCTTGATGAGTTTTTCATTCCAGATGTGCACAACATAGGAATTATCCATTAAGTTTATGATATAACTAGTAATCTATGCTAGGGAGAAAATCGGAATTGAAGTTGAAACAAGTAGCCACAGTAGACAATCAACAGAGTATCTATCTACCTACATCAGTAGACTGTCAAAAGTATCTACCTGCTATCAGTAGACTATCAAGAGTATCTATCTACTATCAGTAGGCTATCAATAGAGTATCTACCTACTATCAGTAGACTATCAAGAGTATCTACCTACTATCGGTAGACTATAGAGTACCTACTATCTGTAGAATATAGAGTATCTGCTATCAGTAGACTATCAATAGAGTATCTACCTACTATCGAGACTACCAATAGAATATGTATCTACTATTGGTAGACTATCGACAGAGTATCTATCTACTATCGGTAGACTATTGATAGAGTATCTATCTACTATCAATAGAGTATCTGTCTACTATCAGTACACTATCGGTAGGCAAACAGCAGCTTACCAAGTGATACTGACTACCGTAAGGCAACCACTGACCTAATGAAATAAAACCTCCAAAACGTTCCCGGAAAAACAGCTTCTAGGACGAGCACAATCCAAGCTGAAGTGCCCAAGCCCTCTTTTTTCCTCGTATTTGTAATACAATTATTTACTCAGCGTTCCACCAAAAATCTTAAACCCTTCCTACACATCAGACACAGGAACACGCTAAACTCCACAGACAAGTCTCCAGCATCATGTTACTTTTTCCTTGCAAATGGAAATTAAGCAATCACAACACAGCAGTAATTAGGGTGAAAAGAAGTGAAACGCAGGGTACCAGGCCAATATCTTCTTGTAAAGAGACAGGATAGAATTTGGGAACAAAGGATTTTGTAACTGACATTGAAGCTTAATGTTAAGGTGTCAAAAGATAGGGCAGGTGGAAAGAAATCCCTGTAGAGAGGTCTGAAGGCAGGCAGTGACATTTAGCCAAAGACCTCAAGCTCAGATACAGAATGAGAGGGAATGCTGAGAGCCTCAGAGGAGTGCAGCCCCAAGGTGGGCTTAGTTCCTTGTTGGGGGTTCCTCTTTAGCAGAGTTCATGTGGGGATAAATTTCAGAAACCACCAAACTTTTAGGATCTGACCTGTGGAATCCTGACAGCATTTATATAATAAACATGAGGTGATTATACTGTTTGGCAAAGACTGTGCGTGTGTTGGCAAGATGAGAAAACCTGCTCTGAATTCTAAGAACAGCGGACACTAGTCTCGGGCACTTCAAAGCTTAAACAACAAACTTGGTTCATTCTGCACAGACCACCTGCTCAGAAACGTTATTCCCTTGCAATTCTACTTCCGAGGCCCAGGCTGGCCTTGGAGGTGAAGGCACCACGTCACCATTCACATGTGACTTCCTAACCTCTCAGAGACCACTGTTTCTCTGGTTCTCACTCAGTATCCCTCCCACTAGGTTTAATCTTTAGTCTCTTACGTGAACGTTACTCAAGGCTCGACAAATTGGACATCAGTCAGAGCAACAATCCCTACATACTGCCATTCACAAGGATTTTGCCCATAATCACTAAGACTTACCCCATCACAACATCTACACTTTATATTTTCATGTGCACTTGGCCTCAATTATTCCTTTTGACAATATTGTGAAGTATTATAATCATGATTTTTGGCTGATAAGGGCTCCAGGCTTAGAGAGGCTAAGCGTGACTTTTCTTGTCCCAATCATTTAATGTAGCTTCTCATTTTCCAAAGAGTTCTCTACATAGGCTGCCTGCCAGCAAATGTGGTGAAAAGCATGTATTTTAAAGTAGACTTTCAGTTTCTCCTAAACAATGTTAGCAACTCAGAGGAACAAGGGCTTTTACAACCATGTACCTGTTCGTCAGCTTCTGACTTTTTAGCCTTTCACACATATTTCGGGTTGGGGTGCAGGTCTACTCCGAATACTGACAGCAGAGAGGCAGCTCCCATCACTCCTGTGAGGAGGACCACTTCTCACTATGCTCACAAGCATAAAGGGTCTGCTTCCCATTTCCCTGGTGAAAAACTATCTCTGACTGAATAAGACCACTTATAATAGCACGGATCACTCAGAGAAACTAAAAAATCAAGTTTCACTTGTTTTAAAGCAAAATAGATGCAAACAAGGCAATATTAGGATTTAAAAGATCAATTTACACCGTCCTAAAACCTGCTATCAAAAAGCATTTGTTAAAGTTTAGGAGTATGGCACATGCTGTAGACTGTGCTATAATGTGATTGACATCTTTGGCACAATGTACAAGGGAGAGGCGTGTAGCTAAACATTTGCCAATATCCTTCCCCGGAAAAGTCGGCTGTAAGAGACGCAATGGTGAGTGTGTGAAATGCTTTAAAAACCCGAAATCCCTTTTCCCCGGAGTAGAAACTCACAAGTTCATCAACAAGGAGGGTACTGTGTATTAGCTAGTCCACTTGGCTTTCCAATTAGCTCAAGAGAACAGGTAATTCTGTATTTCCAAGGGAGCCCTCTCTAGTTCTGTGGTATTTGCACATCTCACCTGGGCCTTTCGGTTACAAATCCACCTCCTTAAGAAGCCCTGTGAAAAAAATAAGATCAATAATAAAAAAAAAATTCCAGCTATAAATCAGCCACGTGGAGCTACTGCTGCAGCAGCGGTAGCTGACTTCCTGGTTTGCTTCCTGCAAGCCTCAGGCAGGGGAGATCGGGCAGTGGGCGTCAGGAAGTAAAGGGCCGCCTAGGAAAGGCTGCAGGTTCACCTGAGGGGCGACGGGTGGTGGCAGCATCCTGGGAGGGCATGGGCTTGGTCAAGGACAGAGTTTTTAGTCCACGATTACTATAAAAGTTTGGGGACCTGGAGGCTTTAGGAAGCCGAGCCGTAGGGCAAAGGCTAAGACCAGACCTGGGGGAAAGTGTTAAGTTAGTTCCAAGGTTACTAGGGACTCGCGGGGGAGGGAGGGGTTCTCGCGGTCGCGAGTGGAGTTGGGAGGGGGGACTGCGGAGCTAGAGCGGGCAGGTAGAAAGGAAGCCTGGAGAGCCAGCCACTCCGGCCGGTCAGAGCTCTGCGGAGGCCGCCGGAGGGGAGGGGGGTGCGGC